AGTTTCTATTAATAGGTTGATTACAAAATGTTGGTGTAAATTAATAAGGTATGGATTAGGAAGTAATGGTATAGTTATATGAAAATTGTGTAAGGGGAAAAAAGAATAGGTTAAAGACAAAAGGTAAAAAAAAGTTTTACAAGAGAGTAAATATTGAATTTAGTTGTATTTTAGTCAATATTAGGTCAAAAATCTTTATTTAGAGCTTGTTTTGACCAGGTAAGTATATACTACAACTTTAATTAAGAGTATAGGACAGGTTAAGGCAATAAAAACTGCAGAATAGTTAAAAGTTATCAACTAGAGGCCAAAGGCTGTCAGTACGATTTTCTCGATGAGTTTGAAGTATATAAATTTATATTTGCAGACTATATGTAAATGATGTGCTGAACAAGTTTACTTAGAAGCCAAAGATAGGTTTCCTTAGTAAAATAAAAAGTTATAAGTATTTTTTAACAGAAGAATTTTTAGTTAATTTTTGTGTAATAGATTTGCAGAAAGAGTTAGCTGAACAACTTTTAGACAGCATAATTGAATAAGCATATACTTTTAAAATGCCATTTGGTATATCATTTAAGATTTTACATGCACTCTGACTATATCTTTATATTACTCTATTTCACACTGTAAGTTATTCCTATTCTTATTTCTAAATTCAAATTTAACTAATTTTATTAATTTTGTTTTTATATCTATTTATTATTATTTCTATTTGACTTTCTACTTAATTATACTACTTGTATAATATATAAAGACTTCTAAGTAAACACTTTATTGCATAAATAGTATGGGCCAATTTTATTAGTCAATACAAATTATGCTATTGAAAGAATTATTCAGTATTTTATTAGTTGTTCAATTTTCGGAGAGCAGTCTAATGAGAGAGGAGATTATGTTAACCAAATATGAATGGCCTAATTGACCAATATATATTGTATTTAAGTTAAACTCTTCATATACCTACTTGTCTTATATTTTTTATTTTAATTAATTTAACAAAAAATGAATTTATTTTTTGTTATTTTGATTAAAAATATTAATTTAATTTTTTGAATTTAACAAAAAACAAATTCATTTTTTGTTAAAATTCAAAAAAATTAAATAATTTTAATTTACTAATTTTAACAAAAAAATGAATTTATTTTTTGTTAATACGTAATCTGTAAGAAGCTTTAATTATACAAATATAATTATACAAATATACCCAATCATATAATTACAAATATATAATTATACAAAATTTTTAATTAAACTTTTTTATATAATTAATATAGTTACAATATTAAGAATTGTATATATAGTATAAAGTCTAATTTTAAAACATGCATAAATATAACATATAGTTATATAATTTTATCAGTTAATTTCTTTAAATCTTATCTCATTTTAATATTTTTCTTATTAATTCTTTTATATATATATATATAAATTTACACCCTTTCTTCTTACTTTTGTTATAAATTATAAACAAAAAAATTATGAGTAATTTTTTTTTTTTAGCAAAAACTAAATTTGGTTTTTGTTAAATTATTTAGTGTTTTGTTTTAATTTAATTATTATAATTAATTATGTTTTTAAATTTTTTTTTAGCATGCTATAATAGTTACATAATGTGATATATATACTTACTGTCCTTGTAACATTTGGATGAACAAATTCAGCTAATTGAATTTACAAAAGATGAGGTCATAATTATGTATTCAGATAAAACCAAAAGATCTTTTAATTTTCAAATTGTAGAATCAAGTAAAAATATGATGGATCTTAAAAGTAAGGCAGCTAACAAACTAGATATGGTACTTGAGGCTAGTGAAGTGCCTAGTCAAGGAAATAACAAATATAAAGTCAAATTTGATAAACTAAAAGTGTTATTGAATGAAGATATAAATTAATTAATATAATATTCTATACTATTTATATTTGTTAATATAACTAATTCATTTGTTGTTAAAAAAATAAAATTGAGCAGAATTTAGATGATGATAATAATTAAAATTCAGAGAAGGAGGATAGCAAAAAAAGTAATAATAAAGAAGAAGATGCCAATATGATAGAGAATGACTATGAAGAGGAAGTTGATAAAATGTATAAAGGAAAGATGAACAATAAAGCTGAAGAGGAGTCAATGAAATGTATAAAAGAGATATTGAAGTGGCAGACTGGATAAATAGAGCAGAATTTAATAAAATAGAAGATGAAGAAACTAGTATCATAAAAAAAGGAAAAAGAAAAAAAGTAAATGTGAAACATCAAGAAATAGTAGTATGTATATAATAAATAATTAAAAAAAAATCAAAAAAATCAAAAAAAAATTAAATAAAAAAATTAAATAAAAAATTAAAAAAAAATTAATTAATTAATATACAATTTTTTTTTTAGAATTAATGATTAAAACTGTAAAACAAATTTTATTACAATGCAGTTTTGAGTCTACAAGATTTCAATGTATGATGAAAGAATTTAATTTGAATATTGTAAATTGCAGTTTAGCACTAAATGCAGTAGCATATGGATCCAATTTGAAAAGATCGAAGTATTTTCTAAAAAGGAAAAAGCAGTATTAAAGAATAAAAATAGACAAATCACTTTTAAACCAGCAAATTATAAAGTAATTAAAGAAGTAATTAATAATCTTAAATGGCCAAAATTTATACATATAAACTGGAATGATAATAATCTGACAGACACTTTAGGTTTTTATGCTGAATATGAAAATTCTTTCAAAAATGGACTTTTAAATAGTAATAAGCTCAAAACAGCTAATTTATATTATGAGTTTCTTTTTTTACAAAATGGATTGCCTGTAGTAGCTTTATTTTTTGATTCCAATTCTGGGATCAAAAAAATGAAATACTACAGAAACATAATAGATTTTTTGAAAATAGTAATCTAACAAAGAAACTCTATCTATCCAATCCAATTTGATATCTTATTAATTTGTGGAACTCTTAAACTGAATCTATTTTAAGAACAAGAAGTAACTCCATTAATAGAAGAACAAAAAATAACTCTGTTAATAGAAGAAGCTGAAAATATACAAAATGCAATCTTATTATTAAGAAGGACATCAGGATTACCATCTAGTCTTAGTGTTAATCATTTTTTAAATTATAATACTGAAGTATCTAACCAAATATCAATATTCTCAACACTTATGACAACATGTTATCAATCAATTTATAAGGTTGATATTAGTTCATATCATTTGGAGATAACAAGACACATGTCCTTAAGATTCTTATATAAATTTGAAGAAGCCTATACCTTTTTAAAAAGATGGGTTTCAAACTTTGCTACTAGATCTAAAGGCATAAAATCAGCAACACAAGTGCATTCACTTTTAATTGGTAAAATCTCAATTGAACAACTCTTTGAAATAAACTCAATGAAATCCGATCTGTTCAATATTAAACATATAGTCAATGAAAAAGAAGTATAGAATTAGATGAAATTTCAATAAACATTCCTGAATTTTTTGGCAAAATTTTATTAAGAAAACTTAACATATTTACTATAGCAGACTCAAGATTAATGCAATTATTTAAAACATTAAATAACAATTGAACTACTTTAGACTTAGTTGATAATGTAACAATAACTTGGCTTGAGAACTTTTGCAAGTAAGAATGAACAGCTTTTATTAACCAAATCAAAGATAATTTTATTAATATTAATATCCTATTAATATACTGTATAATAAATAAAGTACTAATAATAATTTTTTTTAGGTGATAGTAAAAGACAAAAAAATAAATTAATTACTTTTTTATATACTTTATAATTTTGCTTTAAATAATATTTTGTAAATCAAAATATTTTCTGATTAATATACTATATTATGACACTGTCTTTTTTTGCATAAAACTTTTCTGATATTCATGTTAATTCACTTTTTAACACTTTAACTGCTCTATTCTTTTAAAACTTAGAATATATATATTTTAAAATTTAGTAATTTTATACTGTATTATTATAAATTTATTGTATGTAGTCATGAACTTAAATTAGATATTCACATAATAAAATTTTGCATTAATTTTGATTGCATATTGATTAAATATAAATAACACCTTTTTTTAGTTATCTTTTCTTTAGAATCTTTGAATCTTTATACCAAAAATAGCATAAAGGTTAGTTGCTTGTAAATATTGATATTTGTTTTTATATAATAGGTTATATTGACTATTAACTTGAAAATTTCTCTTTTGTGACTAAAAGAGTAACAAGAAGCACAAAAGCAAAGATTACACAACAAGTACAGAATATTTCAAGAACAAAAAGACAATGAACAATATGTCAAACAAAGATTAAAGGTATACTAATGGTTTTTTAATTTTTTTTTTTTTTTTTTTTGAACTTTGGTGACAATGCCAGTTGGTTTTTATTAGCTTAATTTTGATATAGTACAAATTTATGGTTACATTTTAGAATCGATTATTACTAGTACTATATACTATCTAATTTAACACTA